TTATCCTTATTAAAAGGTTCGTGAGGATAATTTTTCATCTAATAAATATAATTATACATTAAATTAATTATTTTTATTTATTTTATTTGTTTTGTTTTATTTATTTTATTTATTTAATTTTATTTTATTTAATTTATTTAATTTATGTATTTATTTATTTATTTTGGTTATGCTCATTAATTAAAAGTATTAGAAGATTGCCAAATTGTTATGAAAGGTTAAAAAGAATGTGTCAAATTTATAGTATAAATCTATTGAAACCAATTCTTGACGTTAGTACAAGGTAGAATTCTACTTTCGAAATGTGCAAGTAGGCTATAACATTGCAACAGATATTAGATAGTGTTACTCTAGCTGAAACAGATTTGTGGCAGTATATTCTCAGTGAAAATGACTGAAAAAAAATAAAACTTTTAATTGAAGTTTTAGAACTATTTAAAGATGGTTAGTAAATTATTTTATAATATGGTATACTTGTTTTATTTAATAATATGTGTATTTTTTTTTAAAAAAAAATAAACACTAAATATATAAACATATTTATTTGAGCTAGCAACAGTTGTTATATCATTGTCTGAATATTCGACATTGTCAATGGTTGTCCCCCTTTATCACATATTATTTCAAATACTTGATGAAATCTAATGAAAAAGTAGTACACCACAATGGCTTGTACAAGGATATAAAGCTGCAGCTACTAAGCTTCTAGAATATTGCCAAAAAACAAGCTTGTGGTATATTTTAGCAATAGTACTAGATTCACGCTTTAAATTTCAATATTTTGAAGATCTTGAGTGGCTTTTACATCTTATTAATCAGATTAAAGATATGTTAGTTTATAATTCTTAATATAAATATATTAATACAGTAATATGTATAAGCAATATATTAATTTATATATTGTTTATAGTGTTAAGCATAAATATGAAGATCATTATGCACCTGTTTTTTATCAAGATTTATTAGACTCGATTGTTAAACTATCTACAACTATAATATCTCGAATTTACAAATGAAACCGTTTTGAAAATCAAAATGAATTTGATATATATTTACATGCACCACTTGTAGACCCCCACATAGATATTTTAGAATAGTGGTGAATAAATGAATCTAATTATCCAAATCTCTCAAAATTTGCTAGAGACTGTCTCTCAATACCCGTGACAAGTGTTCTAAGTAAGGAGGTGTTTAGTATTAGTGGTAACATGATAACTGAAAAATATAATCGATTAAATGAAAAGACAGTATGAATAGCCATGTATTTAAGGTCATGGTAGAGAGAACTGGATAAATCGTATGTATATAATTTAATTTTACTTTAAATATCATTAAATCACACAAAAATTTTTACTAAATTATATTAAAGTTATACTTGTGCAGATATAATAAGTCACTTACAGAATTAAACAATTATTAAAAATTAAATTAGATAAATAAAATAAATAAAACAAAACAAATAAAATAAATAAAAATAATTAATATATAATACGTATAATTATAATTATAATAAATTTAATTTGAACAAACTTTATTTAATTAAAAAATACTAACACTTTCTAATTCACATCCTACAATACTTAACATGCTTTGCACAGCAAGATTTAAAACATGCCCAAAACATTGAATCGATTGCTGTATACTATTAAACTGAATACCAATTTGTGATAAAGAGTATGAAAAATCTTGCAAAAATCTATTATTGGATGATGCATTATCATGCGTAACTGTAATAAGTTTTGAAATAATTTCCATTTCCTGAAGACATTCTTTTATTGCATCTGAGATCACAGTACCCGTATGAGATCTATTCATATTAATAAAGTCTAATAAAATATTTTTAAGTTCCCATGACGCATTAAGATAGTGAATAGTTACTGCTAAGAATGATTTGTCATAGGTGTCAGTTGTCTATATATCAGTTGTTACTGATATACCTCCAGGAATTTCTTGCAATTTTTCTCGAAGTTTCACATACTCATGTCCAAAATCACATGTAATATGTCTTTTTATTGTATCGGCTAAAGGAGCTATAAAAAAAAAGTCATTTAATTTTTTATTATAAAGTAAAAGTATATTTTAACTAAATGTTATACCTGCTGCACGAGGTTCTAAGTAATTAAAAATCTGTCTAAATTCTTCATCTTCAGTAATTTTAAAAGGCCGATTACGTTTAATGATCCATTTCTTAATAAGTTCATTAAATTTATCCTTATTAAAAGGTTCGTGAGGATAATTTTTCATCTAATAAATATAATTATACATTAAATTATATTATTCTTCCCTTCTAATTATTATATATTTATGAAAAGTTTATATTTTTTTAATTGTTTAACATCTCAATAACAGAAGTGCTATCTTTTTTTGTATCAGGTTTTTTAATTCAAGTACATGCTTTTTATATGCACTAAGATGCTTTTTAAGATTTGACATGGTTCCATCTTGATACGTATATTTATTTCTACAGAAATCACATATCGCATAGCTTTTTTTTTTTTTTAAAGTATTTCCACACAAAAGACCTACAATATAAGACAACTGGTAAGAAAATATGTATTATAATAACATAATTGTTTACTAAATCTTTGCGCTATAAATTAAATATAAAGTTTCAAATCTTATTACCTAGTACACACAGATTTGTAACTGCTAACTTGTGATTAAACTGGAGTTAATTAGGCTGGAGATAATTTGCTAATTTCATATTCATCCTGGTAGGTGAATACTGGTTCATCTTCAGGTTCTTCAAGTTCATCATGAGAGGGCATAAATGGTATCAATATTGTAAATAAAGCTTCTATATAGAGATTTTAAAAGAATTCTTAATAACTAGAAATTTTTTTTTAAAAAAAGATACCTGACACTTATTATCACTCTGCTTTGTTAGTATCCATACTCAACACCTTCTCTATAACAACAATACTATCTTGCGCTCAAAGTATTACAACATTATCTCTCAGGTTCAAATTTATTCAATGAAGGATCAAAGTGTAGTTTCAATCTTAAAAATCAAACCTCTTATTTATACGTATTTGAAAATAAGGATTACTTTTTTGCAAAATTAGTTTTTATATTATAAGAAAAAAAATTATAGTTACATATAAGC